CCAGCCTTCTGGTTAGCAATCAAGTGCTTTAGCCACTATGCTACCAGTGCCTAGTGGGTTTGAACCGCCAGCTTTCTGGTTAGTAGTCAAATGCCTTAGGCACTACACCACCAGAGCTCCCTCATATTGAATTGACCTCATCTTAATTAAGTACATCTACAAAGATCTCATTTCCAAATAAGATCCTATTTACAAGTACTGGGGGCTTAGACTTGAGCATATCTTTTTGAGGGGACACGATTTAATTCACAACAGTATGAATGTACTCTAACTAATTTAATCAATATCCTATTATAGGGCTTTGCCTTCATGTGTAAGTATGTTTAAAATAATGCTGCAATGAATATTTTTGTACATAGGGCTTTGCCCACATGTATAAGTACCATATTTTTTGTAGTTAACACCCATATAAATAATGTGCACATGCATATAACTCCAATAGGAAACTAATGCACAAGGGGGCTATGCAGTTTGCCAAAAAAAGTATAATGCATGGTATTTGCTTAAAAATACCATATATCTGTAGGATAAATTCCTAGATCTTGAATAGCTGGATCAAAGGCTATGCAAATTTGGAGATTTCATGGATTTTTTTTTCCCAGAAAATTTTGCTTGAAAGAGGCTAAAGGAATTTTCATTCCTATCATCAAATGTGGGAGCTCTGGTAGCATAGTGGCTAAGACACTTTACTGCTAACCAGAAGGCTGGTGGTTCAAACCCACCAGCCACTCCTTGGAAGGAAGATGGGGCAATCTACTTCTATAGTGATACTGCCTCGGAAACCCAAAGAGGGGTCACTATGAGTCGAGTCCAACTCAATGGCACATAACAACAACAACATCATCAAATGCATGAGAGCATGTGTATTTTTATGAAGCTTCCTTGGTTCTTCTTGGGCAGCTGAGGTTAAGACCCAGACCTTGCTCTTGATTTGCTAAAGCATAAGTTTCTTACTGTCTCCTCAGTCACAGCCCAGTTGGGGACTGGGGAGTGCTTCAGCATGTCCTCCAATTGACATTTCCTTTCCATCCTGGTCAGGACACGGAGTTGCAGAGGAAGCTAGACCATGAGATCCGGATGAGGGAAGGGGCCTGCAAGCTGCTGGCAGCCTGTTCCCAGCGAGAGCAGGCTCTAGAGGCCACCAAGAGCCTGCTGGTCTGCAACAGCCGCATCCTCAGCTACATGGGTGAGCTTCAGCGGCGCAAGGAGGCGCAGGTGCTGGGGAAGACAGCCCGGCGGTAAGCAAAGGAAGGAGGCCTCGGCAGTAGCAGGAGGTCTATGGGTAGTGGCAATGCAATGTGCATGTATATGGAGTGTGGATCACCCTGAAGATGACCTCCCTATGAAGCCTTGACAGTGACCTGGATGGTACCTCAGTTGTTTTCCCACTACTGTGTGCTACCCAGAGGTACACCAGTAGCCAGGGCTGGACTCAGGAAAGCCAGGGTATTTAGTGAAAGGCTGGCAGTCTCAGGGGTAGTAATGAGAAAACACTAATTCACTAAGCCCTGCCTATGATCTGATGAGTCTGGCTTGCTAGTTTCTGGAAAGCTAATTTTCTCAAAGCCAGTTCACCAAATGACCAGTTTGCTGAATGGTCAATATGCTATAAACTGACAATAGCTTGTTGTACCTGGAATTCACCATCAGAGGCAGAGAGTGGGAAAGGACATAATAAAAAGCCACTTAAGGGAAAGCCTACCCATTCACGTAAATTACATTATGCATACTAAAGGGATCAGCTTTGGAGGTGAAACACAAGCTACATGACATTATAACCCATGGATCTGACAAATTCACAGTGAAATGGTTGAGGTGGTAAAAATAAAACATTGGACAAAATATCCTCAATGATTTGGCAAATTGATCTTTCTGAGAATTGGCCATTTTTCATAAATTGGTCATTTGGGGAATTGGCTTCTGGCACAGTGGCCTGCATGGTCCCACTGGACAGAGTGGGGAGAAGGCCTTGGCCCTTCATTGGCATAGTGCCCGTCTAGCTCAGACAGTGAAGGGTGACACAAGGGGAGTTTGCCAGGATCCCTTCAGAGCTCACCCATGCAGCAACTGGGAGAAGGCAGGAAACCCACTTTATAGCAGTCCCATGAAGCTAGAGGAAAGCAGATAGGGACAGCTTCTTCTGGAGCTTGTCATCTCTTGAGAGATGACCATCAACAGGCTCTGCCCTGCCCAGAGACATTCCTCAAGTCTCCACATGGCCCAGGCAGTGTGTTTTGAGGAATATCCCAAATCTGTGACAGCTGAACACTTTAGCATTAGTACAACATCATTTAGCTTAAGGCCCTGCTAGGTCATAGTGCCACATTAGTGGCATTATGCATTGATATGAATAAATTGTCATCTTAGGAGAGGGACACAGGTTCAATGAGTCCTGATAGTGGGTGGAGAGGGGAGGGGAGGGGAGGAAGGCTGGTTGTGTGAAGCCCTGTATTGGGGAGCTTGGGGGTACTGTGAAAGTTCAGTATATCTGGCTGGGGAGGAGGTGATTAAAGGAGAAATCAAAGCCTGGGGTGAGGTGTGAGGGGAGAGTGAGTTTGTGGTGAATGGAACATAAATGTTCCCTACTTGCTTTTTTTTTAAATTGTGATTTGGGTGAAAATTTACAGAGCAAGTTCATTTTCCATATAGCAGTTCATACACATTTTGTTTCATGACATTGATTGCAATCCCCATAATGTAACAGCTCTCTTCCCACTTCCTTCCTGTGGTTATCTTTTCCCTGTGTCCTTCTTTCCTATGTATTTCTGCTCAGGGAGGTATCTCCCTGTGCAAATACTGCCTTTCTGATCTCTCATGGTTGATTGTTCTAAGGAGAGTATCTACTTGGTATAAATGTTCACTAAATGCCTGTCTGTTGTTTGGCTGGAAGCCACGGGAATGAGTTCAACTCCAGGCCTGAAGGGTGACGAGGGGCCATAATCTCAGGGGTTTCACCAGTCTCTATCAGACCAGTAAGCTTGGTGTTGGTTTTTTTTTTTAAGTGATTTTGAGTTTTGTTCCACATTTTTCTCCCACTCTATCCAGGATCTCCTACGCTGATTCCTTTCCAAGTGGTTGACAGATGTAACTGGGAACCATCTAGTTTTTCTGGTCTCAGGGTCATTTAGGCTGTGGTTTGCATGGTTCAGTAGTCCCTTGGACTAATTGTTTCCATGCATCTTTGGTTTTCTTCCTTTGTCTTTGCTCTGGATGAAGAGTAACCAATTGTTGCCTTTCAGATGGCCACTTGCAAGTTTTTAAGATCTCAGTGGCTACTCACCAAACTACTTGCTTTTTTTTCCCTGTCATCAAACACTGGTCAACTTATTTTCTGACTAACCAGTACCCTTTTATATCAAAGAAGTGATGAGCTGGTAGAAATGAGTAGCCTCCCTTACTATCAAAAAGAAAAGCTTGCAAACTCCTTCAAGTCTGGGGTTATAATGGAGAAGAGACCTTGAAAGAGAGTCTCTCTGTAGATACCTGTCCTCTCAAAGCCCCACTTGTCCCTGGCAGAGATCCTGGGAGGTAGTCAGGAAGGGAGCTAACATGGCTCTGGTGTTCCCAAGCCCAGGAGCTCTCCCTGAGTCCCTCACACCTGCCATGTCAGCTTGATTGGGTGCTGGGCCTCTGGGACTTGAAGGGGTCCTAGAGCCCTTGGGAACTAGAGAGAGGAAGAGGAGCATATAGAGGCCAAGCTAGGACATTGTGATTTACCCATAGGCCTTCTGACAGTGGGCCACCAGCAGATCGTTCCCCGTGCCGCGGCCGGGTCTGCATTTCTGGTAAGGAGCACAACTATCCCCTGCTGGCTTCCCTTGCCCAACCTCACAATCTCCCACTCTGTCTCAACATCTTTTCCTACCTCTCTGACCCTTAGACCTCCGGATTCCACTCATGTGGAAGGACACAGAATATTTCAAGAACAAAGGCGGTGAGTTCCACCCACCCTGAAATAAGTTCTGGGAGTGACTGAGGTTGGAGGCCCTTGTGGGGCGTGTTTTTACCTGTTTGCCTGCTCTGCCCCAGACCTGCACCGCTGGGCTGTGTTCCTGCTCTTGCAGCTAGGGGAACATATTCAAGATACAGAGATGATCTTGGTGGACAGGACCCTCACAGACATCTCCTTTCAGAACAGTGTGCTCTTGTGAGTACCTCATCTGTATGGCTCTCCTTTTTCTCCACTCTGCCCCAATTCTCAGATGAGGGGGCTACAGGGGAGGAAAGAGAGGAGAGATGGGAGCCTGGCCTTCTGTGTGGAGCTGACCTATGCTTGCACCACCCCTCACCCCAAGTCTCCCTCAACTTCCCCATAACCATCCTTTTCTCCTTCTCTTTCTCTCATAGTGCTGAAGCAGGGCCAGACTTTGAACTTCGGCTGGAGCTATATGGGGCCTGCATGGAAGAAGAGGGAGCCCTGACTGGTGCCCCTAAGAGGCTTGCCACCAAGCTTAGCAGCTCCCTGGGCCGCTCCTCAGGAAGGCGTGTCCGGGCATCACTGGACAGTGCTGGGGGCTCAGGAAGCAGTCCCATCCTGCTCCCCACCCTGGCTGTTGGGTAAGGCCCTATACTCCCGCACTTCCCTTTGTTGTCTGTACCCTGGCCACAGGTGACCTCTGAACTGTGTTGAATGTGTGGAACCCATTTTGCACTCCTGCCAGGACATGCAGACAGATGTGAATGAGCAGAGGCCACACAGCTTTGAGACACACTCTGGCCCATACTCCAGAGCCAGGCTAAGCCAGTTGAGAAGACCAATAGCGAGGTCATGGAGAGCTAAGTTCTGGGGTCTAACTTATTAGTTAGCAGGAGCAAATACATCTTATATGGCTAGATCAAAGAAAGTTCCCTGGTTGGAGCAGTGTAGCCTGGGCCTATGGTAGTGCCTTTATCCAACACCCAGAGGCATCCCATGGAACCACTGCAACTCTGAAAAGCAGTTTGAGAACCTCTAGGGTAATGAACAAGGAGCTCTGGTAGTATAGTGCCTAAGGCATTTGACTGCTAACCAGGAGGTTGGTGGTTCAAACCCACCAGCTGGTCTGTGGAAGAAAGATGGGGCAATCTATTTCTGTAAAGATTTACTGCCTCAGAAACCCAGAGGGGGTCGCTATGAGTCAGAATTGACTCAGTGGCAGTGAGTTTTGTTTTTGAGTTAGAGTAATGAACAGAATGCTGGATTTGGAGACAGGTGAGATCAAATTCCAGCTCTACCACTTACCACTTATAGGCAAGTTTATTAACCTCTTTAAGCCTCAAGTTACCTCATCTGTTAAACAATGCTAGTAACTTCACAGGGATGCCATGAGAATAAAGTGGGATAACATGTAAAATGAACGCCTGGCACTTGCAGGGGCTCTGTGACTGTTCCTCACCCCTGGGGAGACAAGCTAGGCTGTGGAGCAGCCTGAGCAATAAAGCTCTGCCATTAACACACCCCTCACTTGCTGAAGCCCACTTCTCTGTCTCTCTTACAGTGGTCCCCGTTACCACCTCTTGGCTCACACCACACTCACCCTGGCAGCAGTGCAAGATGGGTTCCGCACACATGACCTCACCCTCACCAGTCATGGTGAGTATGGGGGCAGAGTGCTAGATGGTGAGAAGGGGGGCCATTTGGATGGTTTCCTTTTCATTCCCCACCCTTACCCTACCCTTCCTCCTCCCCCAGAGGAGAACCCTGCCTGGCTGCCCCTTTATGGTAGCGTGTGTTGCCGCTTGGCAGCCCAGCCTCTCTGCATGACTCAGCCCACAGCAAGTGGTACCCTCAGGGTGCAGGTGAGAGGGCCCTTAGGGAGTGGCTGGGAAAAGGGAAAAGGCAGATGAGAGCTGGATCACTTAGGAATACAAAGACTTCTGCTAAATCAAGTTCTGGGTGGGAAAGATTGAGGATTGGGCAGAAAGAAGGAGGTTCTTGATGGGGGAGTGGGGAAGAATGGTGTTGGGGAGAGTGACTCCCCTAGGAGACCTAGAGTTCTTTATGCAGCAAGCTGGGGAGCTGCAGAGCTGGGCCCGAGTGCATGGAGTCCTGAAAGGCACAAACCTCTTCTGTTACCGGCGCCCAGAGGATGCAGACACTGGGGAAGAGCCGTTGTTTACTATTGTGATCAACAAGGTAATAGATCCCTTGGTGGTGAGGGACGGGTACTTGGGCCCAGGAGCCTTGTCTTTAGGCCCTAGGAGGGTAGGGGTAGACCTGAGAGAGATAGATGCTGACTTCCTGTTCCTAACCATACTCAGTGTCAGGGCCAGGAAGGCTAAAGGGGCCATGTTTTCTCCACCAGCATCACTGGAAAAGGGTGGACCCATTCACTTCCAAGCCTCAGCCCCTGCCAAGTTTCAGAAACGTTTCTAGAGCATTTAGGGATTTTCTTCCTCCTCCTCTTTTTTCCCTTTGATTTAAGCTGCTCCTACTTTACCATTTTCTCTTTTTTCTTTTTCTGTTTTTCTCTCCTAACCCAAGTCCAACCACCCTTTGTTCCATTGGCCTGTTGCTGGCTTTCCTACCTACTCTTATGGAAGTGTTGAGGGACCTTAAAAAACCAAACTCACTGCTATTGAGTCGATTTCAACTCATAGCAACGCCTCCTTGGGTTTTCGAGGTGGTATCTGTATGGAAGTAGATTGCCCCATCTTCCTTCCAAGGAGTGGGTGGTGTGTTTGAACCGCGAGCCCTCTGATTAGCAATCAAATGCCTTAGGCACGACACACACGAGAGCTCCTCAGCATTCTTGCCTTCCTGTGTGCCCTGCCTTACTCAATCCTTTTTCCCTGGCTCAGGACTGGTTGTCTCCTCCCCAGCCCTTTCCTGCTGTTCCTTCCCAGTTTTCAGTAGGAAGCAAATGAGGGGGCACAGGCTAAGGCCCCACCAGTTACTCCTTCTAGGGTAGGAATGATCAAATCAGCCTGGTGTCACTGACAAATTCTGTGACCAAGATGTGGCTGGAAGTGGACAGACCCCTTCTCCTCTCTCCTGCAGGAGACTCGAGTCCGGGCAGGGGAGTTGGACCCAGCACCAGGGCGGCCCTTCACTCTGAGCATCAGTAACAAATATGGGGATGACAAAGTGACGCATACTCTTCAGACAGAGAGCCGGGAAACCCTGCAAAGCTGGATGGAGGCTCTGTGGCAGCTCTTCTTTGACATGAGTAAGGAAAGAAAGGGCTGGAGCATGGGAGGAGCTGGGCTGAACCTTTCTAAGGTCTGGGGAGGAATTGGGATTTGTTATTTTTACCAAAGGCTTCTATTTCAAGAATGTGTGGAAGGGAATGTAGCAGAGGAGGGCAGCTGGGCATTTGAACCATTCTTACCCTGTCCCCCAATCCATGCTTTCCCTCTAGGCCAGTGGAAGCAGTGCTGTGATGAAATCATGAAAATTGAAATCCCTGCTCCTCGGAAACCACCCCAAGCCCTGGCCAAGCAGGGGTCTTTGTATCATGAGATGGGTGAGTAGAAGAGGCCACCCCTGAAATCTAGGGACCTGATGGGAAGTGGGACTGGGGCGTCAAGGGGACTCAGATAATGCAAAGAGAGAGAGAGAACACAATTTGGGCAGAACTCCAGGGACACAAGTCCCATTCAGTGTCCTGCTGCACTCCTTTCTCCTCTCCAACTCTTCTTAGAACTGCCTCCACTAAAGTTCTAAATAAAACCCCAAAGAACCAGATTCATTTCATGGTTTTCTTTCCTAACTTCTTCTTTTCTGTTTCCCTTTCTGCATGTGGATTCCTGTCTCTTCCTCTGACCCCTCACTTGCCTGGCACCACTTTCGTTTTTCTCCTCTTTCTTGGTTTCTTTGCCCACTGCTTCATCCCCCATCCCTGTCCACCCTGCACCCCTTATGCCACAGGAGGCCCAGGTGAGGGGCTGCTCCTGCAGGATAATGCAATCTCAGCTGAGATCCGGGCTATGCTTTCCTCCTATTACAGTAAGAGGTGATGGTCAGGGCTGGGTAGGCCTGGGGCCTGTGTTCTGACTAGCCCCCTCCCCTCAACCCCTTCCTGGTGCCACAGCTATTGAGCCGCTGGACGACATCGCAGCGGTGACAGACATCCTGGCCCAACGGGAGGCTCCGAGGCTGGAGGCACCCCCACCCTGGCTAGCCATGTTTACCGACCAGCTTGCCCTGCCTACCCCCTGCTCACCTGCCTCAGTGGCTCCAGCCCAAGCCCGGACCCACCCCCTGCCCTGGGGGCGACCCCGAACCTTCTCCCTGGACGCTGTCCCCCCAGACCACTCCCCTGGGGCTTCACGCTCGATTGCCCCGCTCCCCCCACAGCAATCTCCACGGTCTAGGGGCCTCTGTACTCGGCTCCAGTCACCAGTATGAGAAAGAAAGGTGCTGACAGCAGGATGCAGCCAGAAGAGGAAATGACCCATGTGCAATTGGGCTGTGGATACAACCCTGTCTATAGCAGGTTGACCAGTCTGGCTCCCCTTTCTCTGTTGGACTGGGGGTAGGCTGGGGAGGGAAGCCAGAAGCCCCTCTCAAGCTGTGGTTGCTATGGTGCTGAGGGACTCATTCTCAGGGCTGGCTGGGATCCCCTAAACCCTTCCTGGGAGAAAACTGGAACCACCCCTGACCTACCTCCCTGCACTAACCAGCTTTGAGGATGACACTGAAAAGCCTTGGGAGGGAATATCCCTTCCCTTTGACTCTGATATCTACCATTAAAAGTTATTTAACAGCAGTCTTCTGGTTCTTAGGGACAGGTTGCCTCTCTGCTTGGTTGGGACCTATCCCCACACCCCTAACCATTAATTTTATTTCCTAGTTGTGAAGTATGACTGTGATACTTAGTAATGAGACAAAGGCTGGGTACAGGGCATTCTTTATAAATATCACAGGGAGAATGGAAGGTTGTTCTCTCATACACTTCTGAATCTTAGGATCTCGGCAAGGTCATAGCCAGTCACAGCAAAGGAGTTGCCTGAGGGGTCACAGAATCGGGCACCACACACCTGGGTGTCTGGGACACACTCACCATGGCAGTGCTCCACCTACAGAGAAGGGGGCTGGTCAGACTTCTGCAACTTCATGCTTGGGCCCTCCACCCCACCCCTCCCATGACACACACCTCAATGTTGCCACTCTCTGGGCTTCTGCTCAGCTTCCAGATGTGCACAAAGGTGTCCTCGGCTGCAGAAAGTAGCTATATATATATATATATTTTAAAAATAGGCAGGTAAGAAAAGTTGGAACGTGTTAATAGAGGACTAGTACAGGCTGGGATGCCCAGTTTAGATCCCCTGGGGAGGGCACGATACTGAGTGTCAGAAACAAGTTTGTGGTGTCCCTCTCAATACCCCAGCACCAGAGAAAAGAATGTATCAGGGAGGAGGAAGAGACTGACCTTGCCAACCTCAGGAGCGAGGTCCAAAGCACAGATGGCCCGGGCGTGGGCATTGATCTGGATGTGTAAAGTACCTGTGCTGGCCTCATACAGATGCACTTGCCCGTTCCCATAGCCTGCTGCTATAATCCCCTGCCACAGCTGCACGGAGGGGCATGGGACCCTGCGAAGGTGATATCCGACTTTGATCTCCCCAGACCCAAGGCCACACTCCCTGTCCCAAAACTACCTCAGGAAAGTCTCAGTCTCCTTCCCCCTCACCTACCCAAATCCTGGAATGCTGGTCAACAATTTGAATTCAGGTCCTGACCGCCAGACACACAGCAAGCCTGAGTCATCTGCCGTCACTACATCAGCCACACAGTCCTGAGGGTAAAGGCAGAATCAGATCTTCCCACTCCCCTTTCTCCCCTGCTGTGTACAGGCAGAAGGGAAAGGGAAGCAGTATCTTTATATGTTTGCTTCTCTAGGGAAAGGGCAAAGTGTGGAGTCCTCAGTGGCTGGGCCCACCAGAAGCCCTCCCCAGGGTTCTCTCTGGAAGCATAAAATGTTTTTCTTGCATTTCTTACAGTCTCATAACCTCCTCCTCCCTTCTCCTCCCACGTGTTAGGAGGGGCTGTGTAATTGTCCTCACTGGATAGATGGTGGAACAGAGGCCATATAGTTGTGAACTTCTGAAGGTCTTACAGTGAGCCAGTTACAGTCATGACTAGACTCTAGGTCCCTGAACCTAACACCAGCCAGCCAACATGCCCCCATAGGCCTGTTCTGTGCTAGATACAATGGAAAATCCAAATCCAAAGATACACACCTTATTCTCAAGAGGTTTGCAATCCAATTGGGGAGACAATACTTGTCTTTGAGGGCAGTGCCAATTCAGGATTCAGTTAAAGGAGATCAGTGGGAGCTGGAATGGGGGGAAGACTTCCTGGGGAGGGTGGCACTGGAGCCGGATTAGGTAATGATTGTCATTAAAGGAAGCTGCACGTGCCAGAGCTGAAAAGCATCTTAGTGTCTATTCATACTCATATTTAAACGTCTTAGTGAACTATAAAATACCATGTAAATGTAGAGTATCTCTGGCTTCATCACTAGACCTGAGATTGCTGAAGTCTAGGAAAGTACAGCAATTTGCCCAAGGTCATACAGCTGCTTAGTGGCAGAGCCAAGGCTCGAACCCATGTCCTACGCCTACCAGGGTAAGGCTCCCAGGAATGAGGAGGAGAGTCCACTCACCTGTCCCTGGGCAGGCTCGGTGGCAATGTCTGTGATTGGTGTGTGGTGCCCAGCCAGCTCCTCACACAGTACAATGTTGGGACCCTTGGCTGGGATGTCAAATACCAGCACACGGCCTGACCACGTTCCTGCAGCCAGAACCAATGCCCCACTGATGGTTTCCTGACACTTCCAGGTCTCCAGCCACCACATTCAGCACTCCTTCCATCCCAGAGACCTTAGTAACAAAGCCACTTCTCATTGTTTCAACAGCCCTGCCCTTTCATTCCCTGGCCTCATCCCATCCCTACCCTGCCCCTCTGAACCTCTTCATGGCTTTTGGAATTTCCCAGACTCACTCCACTTCCATCCTCCCCTCTAATCCTCTACACATGCTTCAGATACTCAGCATCTTCCTGGCCTAAAACCCACACTCCACACCCCAGAACCCTCCAATGCCTTGCCCTTGACCCCCTCACCCACGCAGATGAAGTGACCACTGGCAGCGATTCCTCGGGCAAACACAGCATGTACTGAGTATGAAGGGGGAAAATTATCATAAATACCCCTTCCCAGTCTCAGCAAAGACCCCCTTCCCCACCCACAACATCCTGTAGTTACCTGGAGAGGGGTCTCCAAAGTGCAGTGCATGCCAATAGACCATGACAGAGCCATCAGACTCATATATCTGGAAGATAGGGAAAGGGCTAGAGAATAACCTGGCTGACCTTGCAGAGCTCAGTACTGAGTATTTCACATACTTACATTAGCTTCGGCCCATTTAATTCTGAAAACAACCCTGGGAGTTAGGCACTAGGGTTCAAAAAGTTAAATAACTTGCCATTGGTCACACAGGTAGTAAATGGGTGGATATTGAAGGGAAGTGGCACCTGGGACAAAAGGGCTTTTAGAAATTGGAAAGGATGGAAGGAATGAAGATGAGAAATAAGCGGGCGACTGGCCTAAGGATGTGAAAAGTTTGGAATTATTTACAGGCAAATGAGGAGGGATCTAAGGGCCTTGGAATGGAGTTGAAAACCCTGTGGGGGCGGGGAGGAGGGTCTTCTTCATACCTGTATTCCTTGATGTGAGGTGAGTACCAGCAGTACTCGGAAGGGGAGGATACACCAGTGGACCTGGAGGGAGGTGGATCAGATCAGGGAAAAGTGGTCAAAGCAGGGGCTCTGAGAGGTCACCAGAAGAGCTGGAATTCTGGAGCTTAGGAGAGGAAGAACGGAGGTAGAAGCGGATCCAGAAACACCGTTGCTAACTCCATGCCTCACCTGGGTGATAAGTGGGGGACTCACTCCAGCGCCTTGCTCGGCGTGGAGCTGGCGCTGGGCCAACGGCACACCCTCAGGGGCAGCACTAAGAAGCTGGGTGCTGGGTCCATGGACCACACCAAAGTGCGTAAGGTTGCGGGTAGGCAGCTGCAGCACACTGAGGTTGTTGCACAGAGCGGCGGCCGAGCCTTGAAGTGGGATGGAGCGCTCCCGGCGGAACATCCTGGGGAACGGATACCCAAATCACAAGGCGCGCGGGAACAGACGACAACGGAGACTCCTGCAAGGGGGAGCTGTCATGAGGCACTGGGGGACACTCCTAGGACTGGGTCGTGATGTGGTGGAAGGCCCCGAGGAATAGGGAAGGTCAAATGGCGTGGGGTAGGTATCGTGAAGCGGGAGAGGGGAGCACCCTCCCCTGAGTCGTGGGGCGATGGGGGAAACCTGTAGGAGGGAAGGTGATGGGACAGGACGCGGTATCCCCAAGCGCCGGTCCCAAGAACGCGGGATGAGGCACCGTAGCCCCCCGGTGTTTCCTTCCTTGGTTTGGTTCCCTGCAGCTTGAGGCTCTGGTCAGAGGTCACACCCTTAGCCCCAGGCCTGCTTACCCGATTCCGGGATCTTTCGGTCCCTCCGAATCCGCCGCCACCATAGAGACGACGCACGTACGCACGGCTGTTGCGCAGGGTGAACGGCCCGAACGGCAGCGCGCGGCCCGGTTGCCGGGACAACAGTGGGCGGGGCGAGCAGCGCTGCGCTCGGTGGAGTGTGGTCGCGGCGGTTGTTGGCTGCAGCGGCTGTGGGGCAAATCCTGTTGAAACTGCTGGCTTGCAGCGACTTTGGCGGCAATGGCACACGAAGGCTCGGTGAGCTTCAGGAAGATTAGGGGTGTGCTAGAGTCAGGGTTGGACGCTAAGGAGGGTATCGAGAACCGTACGCCAGCTCCACGCCGTCCTTGCCGTGCTTGGGCGGGTCCAGCACTCCGACCGAAGTCTTCAGGCTTGCTTACGTACACCTCCTCTCAGGCTGGTCTTCGGCCCCAAGCATTGACTTTGCGGATCCCATCAGTCCCACGCTGCTCTGTCCTCGCATTGATCTTCTTGTCCCAGAATAACCCAGGGCGGGGAAACGTGTCTATTTCTTAATTCTGGCGTTCAAGACAATCATGTTGGGTGGAAAACCTACACCTGCACCATGCCCAGCTATACTTTTGGTCATACTGAGGCCCTGAGGGAAAGGGTAAAAGGGTGAGGTAGAGCCCGAGGACAGGAATGGAATTTGGAAACAGGTAAGGAGCTCTGGGGAGCTCTGGTAGCACAGTGCCTAAGGCATCTGACTGCTAACTGGAAGGTTAATGGCTCAAACCCACCAGCCACTCCATAGAAGTAAGACTGGGCAATCTACTTCCATAAAGATTTACTGCCTTGGAAACCCAATAGGGGTCGCTATGAGTCAGAATTGACTCGTTGGCAGTGGGTAGGAGCTCTGGTGGCTTAGTGCCTAAGGCACTGGATTGCTAACCAGAGGGCACTCCTTGGAAGAAAGACTGGGCCATCTACTTCCTTAGTGATACTGTCTCCAAAACCCAAGGAGGAGGGGTCACTATAAGTCCGATGCGACTGGACGGCAGTGAGTTTGGATTTTGGTAAGGAGCTCTGGTGGCGTAGTGCCTAAGGCATTTGACTGCTAACCAGAAGGTTGGTGGTTCAAACCCACCAGCCACTCTGTGAAAGGAAGAATGGACAATCTACTTCTGAAAAGACTTGCCACCTCAGAAACACAAAAGGAGTCGTTATGAGTTGGAATCTGCTCAATGGCAGTGAGGTTTTATTTTTAATGCAAGTAATACATCTCTTAAAACTCACTGCTGTCGAGTCAGATCCAACCCCTTGGATCTCCCAGACACTATCACTACAGAAGTATATCCCCCAGTCTTCCTTTTGAGAAAGGACCCATTTAAATGGATAAACCAGAATAGGTCAGGAATATTGGGGCTGAATTGTTTCTAGATAAATCCTGTATTTTTGAGACTGTCAAGAAGAAGAAACAATTTTGAGGCTACACTTGAAAGTTACTATTTAAAAGACAAGAAACTTTTAAGACCCAAGATTTAAAGACCCTTTGTGCAAAAGTTCTTTGGCTGCTCTGGTCAAGTCTAAGCAGATGCCATATGAGGTTCTGGGAAGGAACAAAGGAACCTACTCTTCTCTTCTAGCCTTACTCTGGCCAAGCCTGGCCTGGGCTGCAGGCCACTCCCTGCAGGCCACTCCCTGCACTTGCCACTAGGGCTGTTCTCTTGAGGGGTGTTCTCACAAGTGGAGAAGAGGAGGCAGTTTGCACCTCTTCTTAATGTTTACAGGATCTTGAATGCAATGTGAGATTTAGGAAACTTAAAATTTGAGGGAGAATGAATTTTGTGGAACATCAACTATGAGGCAATAACGTATGTGGGGGGAGGTAAGGAGGTAAAGGTTTGGGAACATCATGCTTAGAGGTAAATTTTGGAAGGAACCAGGTTTAGGGAGACTGTTGTGGAGAAGTAAGGCACCCAAGAGACTGCTAGTAGATCCCTGTGTCCCTAGAATAAATGAGATTTTGGGATGAGTTTTTTTTTTTTTTTTTTTTTTTTAATATACGTGATGGTTATGTTTGTATGTTAACTTGGCTAGGCCTGGTTGAGTGGCTGGGCAGCTGGATGTAGTATTCCCCATGATGAGACTGGTAATCAACTCCATGGTGTAATCTACTGGGAGCAGCTGAGTATCTGCCTTTGGGTATATGGTCTGCTTCCTGTATGTAAGCAGAAGCTTTGAGAATGGTCGAGAATGGTCTCTAGCCTATGGCACTCTTGGACCCTGCACATAGCCGTGTCGTTGCTCAGCAGCCTGCTATGCTCTGACCTTGGGACTTACAATGGATTTAAGTTAATGGCCTGCTGTGTGGTTTGGTAACAGTGGAATGTGCCTTTTTACTTGTCAACCTTGGGGGGTTCTTGGCGTCAGCAGTCAGCAGCTGTCTGAGTGAAGAAATGCCTCTAACTCCACTGGGCCGGGAGCAGGAGGCAGAGCTGGACCCCAAGGTTGAGGGGCTTTCACCCAGCCCCTAGAGCCTGGCACTTTGAACTTGGATTTAAAGCCTCCAAACTGTAAGAATAAACTCCTGTTTGTTAAGGCCATCCCATTTGTGGTATATTCATGTCAGAGCAGCACTAGGTAACCAGAACAATATATGACAGAATAAAACTCATTGTAAAACAAAACAACAACAAAAAAACAGTTGCTGTCCAGTCTATTCCAACTCAGTAACCCTATGAGTTTCGGAGAACTGGGCCCCTTGGAATATTCAGTGGCCTCGATCTTTCTTCTAGATACCTCTGCGTAGATTCAGACCACCAATAGTTAATAGCAATTAATCATATTCACCACCCAGGAACTTATAAAATAAAGGAAAGCATAGGTATACCTACTGTCCTGTTTTCAGTGTTTTCCCTTTCTTCAGCACATTGATTTACACATTTGAGTTCAAACTCTGTATGTAATTAGTATCCTGTTTCTTCAGCATTACATCATAAATATTTTCTAGTGCCATTACAAATTCTTCCTAAAGATCATCTTTAATTGACTGTGGCCTTTAGTCATCCTTTAAGCCAGGCACCGAACTAACCCCTGTGGGTCAACTTTCTGCCAAGCAGTAGACAAGCCTAAAAGGAGCAGTAACACTAGAGGGATACACACTCCTTAAAGCCATTGGTAATACAAGATCAAAAGAGCAGCTTTTGCCCAGGGATAAAGCTCAGAAGGCAGGAAGGTATGGGAAAGAAGAACAAGTGGAAATGGGGAACAGGGAAGAAGTGGAAAGAGTGCTGTTACATTGTGGAGATTTCAATCAATGTCATGGAATAAAACTGTGTATGAATTGTTGAATGGAAAACCAATGTGCTCTGTAAACTTTCACTCAAATCACAATAAAAAGTTTAAAAAGAAAGAAGGAACTACCTAGGAATAACATAATACCAGAGAGTAGTTTGAGGGCTAAATGGATTTTTATGGATTGACTATCATAATGTTTATAGCATAGCTTTTGCTGAGAAAGGACAAACTTCTAATTCAAATTGTAACACGTCATAGTAAATCAAAAAAGTCTTAATAGCAAGTTTGCTAGAATTAAAAGCATTTAACAATTTTTTAAAAAAGATAATCTTTAATTACCATAAAACATTCCATCATATAAATATACCCCCATTTTTTTGAGTTACACAAATGTTCTCATTATTTTGCTATTATAAACTAAACACTATAAGGAATTTGTTGGAAAATGTTTTTCTCTTCAGAATATGCCTTTTGTGTGCATTTGTAGAGCTGAAATTGCTGGATTGTAGGAGTAAAAAGATTTTTAATGGTTTTGATACATACTGTTGAATGTCTTTCCAAAAATATTTTTCCAGTTAACATTCCTACCAGCAGGGTTTCAGATTTTACTGAATCTTTGCCACCATTGAGTATTCTTATTTTTAAATAACTTTTTTTTTTTTT